CATGGGGTGATCAGCTCTTTGCCTGTCCTCCCTCACAGGGTTGCTGTGAGGATAAGATGGAGAATGTGTGATCTCAGAGCTAGAATTTCCAAGGCCAAGACCCCACGCCAAGCTAGAGCAGAGCGAGCTGCCCTGCCTCAGAGCTCATTCCACGCACAGAAACCTTCACAGCTGGCAGACAATGAGGGGTAATAGATTCCACCCTGAACGAACAAACATGATCCAAATGCTTCCCCAGACCTTTCCGGCTACCTCTGAAATCAAAGTTTATTCATTTACCTTTATTCTCTGGTACTCCTATGCTGCTTATAGTAAAATGGTTTAGTACAAAAATTAAAATACATATAACGCAATGCTAAAAGCTTTTCAACAGGTGTGAGACTAAGAGAAACTATAAACGTACCTGCAATTCAGAGCAGCATGGCTAATGGTAGTAATTTGTGGAATATGTCTTCATTTGATCTTAATCAGCATGATTGTTATGCAGGCCTTTCCCACCCTACCTGGCCAGTAAAAATTGTATGTTTACAGAACAGGAAAGGGGAGAAAATAGGACGATGTTGCCAAGTCTTGCTTTCTCCGCTAGAACCAGGGCAAATTCACACCACGTTAAACCCCAAGTTGCTACAGCAAACGTTTTCCCACACCCTCTATGTGAAAAAACTCCACCCAGCCCTATGGGGCAGCCATTGCGCCATTTCAATAGGAACCAAATTTATTCTCTTCCCGCCCACACCTACACAGTCCAGGCGACGGAGCCAACACCGCCCTTGAGCTCCACATATGAGCTGCCAAGTCTGGTTCTGGGGCATCAAGGTGTACCTTAATCATACCCTTCAGCCTGGAACATGGGAACGCACCCGACGGGTTGCAGTCCAGTAACTGGCAGGCACGTGGCTCCCTTTTGGAGACGGTACAACCAGCATCCAAAACATGGGTGCTGCCTTACGCCCATGTCAGGCTACCTGTCCAGCTGGCTCCATGAGGTGATCAGACAGTAGATCTCCAGATGCATCGGACTTCAAGTCCCAGAATTCCTGGCCACCGGCTATGCTGCTGGCAGGGGATTCTGGGAGTTCGTCAAAAGCACCCAGAAGTCAGCCTGCCACCCACTTCTGGTCTCTACACTTGGGCACAAAAAATGGCTTGCATTGCCAGCTACTCAACCACATGAACTGGAAAACACTGGCATGCAAATGCCCGCAGAAGCATCCTTTCGGCCGTCTGCCTTCGCTGCTCTTTACGCAGGTGTCACAGCCCTTGAAATATTGTGAGTCTCACACAAACAGGGCCTGCCCCCGCCAGAAATGAGCACATTTTGCACCTGGGCTGCTCTGCCAGAGACCCAGTTTCTATACCTGAGATGTCAGCGATGGTTGCTCACGCCTTTGGTTAGCGGATCGTGCCCAATGTGACAATCTTAAAAGCAAACCATGCAGCGAGCTGACAAGGGCGAGCAAAAGAAGCGTGGAGGATTTATTATTTTGTTTAGTTATTTAAAACTTTTCACGACTTTTCTGAAGCCTCGGGATGGTTTAACAATACAAAATGTGAAACGCAGCATCCTAAAAAATTCAGCGAACAATAAAACCACAATTCAAACTGTCAGGTCTTAAAATATTGGGGAAAATAAAAAGGGTTTGGCCTGGCACCAAAAAGAATAAAGCAATGGCGCCAGGCAAACCTCTCTGGGGAGCAAATTCTAGGATTGGGGGGCCACCGCAGAGAAGGCCCTTCTCCAGGTAGTCACCCTCCTAATCTCCTTCAAGGAGGGCTCCCGGAGAAGGGCGTCTGCCCCAGATCTTAAGGGGCAGGCAGACACCTGTGGAAGGAGACACTCCTTCAGGTAAGCAGGATTGCTCTGGCTGGGCTGCCCTCTGCCATCACCAGTGGGTGGAAGAACAAGTCAAGCGAGGCAAGGACAGCACCAACCTGGCCTCCTCAGGGAGACCCTCTCCACTGGGGTGCCGCCCCGAAGGAGGCCCTGCACGGTGTACCTTCCTTCTCTTGGAGCCACAACGCACGTGCAGCGGGTGTGGGTTCCGCATGGCAGGAATGAACCTGGCACTGCTTTGGTATGTTCGCAAGAGTCTTGCTTCACCTGGCTCCTTCAATCCACGGGCGTAGGGCCAAACAACAGCTCTCTTGGAAAGGGTCCACCTGGGGAGGCTGTTACAAAAGAGACAGCGCCTCAAGCCGCCAGCCATTTGATACTTTCCCAGGGGATGATGGGGACTGTAATCCAAGATACTCAGAGAGCCCCGCCTCGAGGAAGGCTGCTTCTTTGTTTAAACTCAGCCACAGACAAAGGGAGCCAAGTCAGAGGGAGAAGACAGATTCTGTTAGCAATGAGCAATGCCTAAAGTTCAGAATGACCCATCGGTTTCCCGAACAAAAGAAGGAATAGTTCTACCTCTTAGGAGCTCCATTGTGATTGTTGTCATGCCTTGCTCTTCGTCTTTTAAAGAAAATGCTTTTTTTAAAAAAAGCAAAGTGCAGACATCTGTTTAAAAGAGGTGGGGAAACAATCATTAAGTTCAGACTCCGGTTTTGTGCCAAAATTCCAGCTGGAACAACGCAGTGCAGTTTTGCATGACATTTCAGAAGCCGGTCAAGATGCGGCTCCCGCCAAAGCAATTTCCTACATGAAAAAGTATTTCTACACAGAAGTCTGGAGTTTTTGCGGCCTTCGGAGGAGCAGCTGCATAAAATGGGATTATTTATCCCCTCAACTACCCAGCCGTTTGGGTTCTGATGTCACTCTGGGCAGGAGCCGATCTGGGATGCAGACGAAAAGCCAAGGAGTGAACCTGCTCTCCCTCCCGCCTTGTGCTTAACACGACCCACTGGAGAGTAAATGGATGGATCGCCGCCTTGCACAAACCAGGTTAACCAGCAGAACTGGATCGCTCCTGCCTGCAGGCTTCGAATCTTAAAAAAAAGTGGCAAACGAGGAAAAAGGAACAGGGAAGGAAGAGGAGAGATGGTGGCCTTTGAGCAGAATGTTATGGAACGGCCCCGCTTCGTACTTTCTTCTCCCTCAGTAAGTGCCTGTGTGCTTTTTGCTTTCTTGAGAGACGGTCTCCCGGGGCCGCCGCGCTAACCCCCACAACCAAAACAAGCCTGAAGTGTGACCCGGAAGAGGACGGGGCGGGCACTTTTCCTGCGTTCTGCAGCATTTGCTGCCATGCGAGGCTCACAGGAGGAGCCGCAGGGCACCCAGAGGGTGATACAGCCAGAATCCACCGCAGACAGATGGGATTGTGGGTTAACTGGTCTTTTTGGGTGGTGTGAGTCAAAAACAAGCAGAACAGGAACCCGAAACAAAGGCCTTTGCGGAAGACGCATGGCACCCTGACAGTTCCCATGCTGCTGCACTTCTCATGAAGGACATTTAGGTTCTTAAACACGGGCGCATGAAGAACCGTACGTGCACCCAGAGAGTGGAAGTCTCTTTCTACAAGGCACGAGTATCTTTGGCACATCTGAGCACTTCGAAGGTCCCATGAAGAGAGATTTTGCTAAGCGCACTCCCCAACCTGGCACCCTCTGGGTGTTTGGACTACAACCCCCAGCATCCTTGATGACAGACCATGCTGGTGGGGCTTGGGGAAGGCTGTGTCACATTTTTGCACCATAAAGTTCCGTGGCAAAGAATCCCCCAAGTTTGGTGCGGCACCTCCGTGCTGTTTGCAAAATAATGTTCTATTCAAAAGCCTTCTCAAGCTGCCGAGATTGCAAAACAGGAAATAACCATGGTTGGTTTTTACACATTTTGGGACTCGGAAGGCAGAAGCCGCTGCCGTTATCTGGTGAGGCGTTTGCCCTTTGAAGCTGTTACAAAAATGATTCCCGGAGTAAGAATACAACAGCCTTCTCAGCATTTCTCAAATTCACAGTTTGGACAGAGAAAAAACAGGGCCACCAAGATGAATGGGACTTCAGTCTCGAATGGGTCTACTCTACATGCTAACGTTGGATCGTGCCCATGACATCTGTATTCCTTCTTCAGGCAGCCGATACTCAACCACTGAGAAAAGCCATTGGCTTGGCTGCCGAAAGGTTGCTTTACCACAGAATCTTTTGTTCCTTGGAAGTTAACACAAGGTCAGTTCAAACAGATTCTCTGCACCCTTTGGACAGCTGAAAGTCTGACATTGGAGCCCTGGAAAAATAAACATCCTCCTCCGTAGGCTGGTTGATGATTGTGATGAATTAAATTAACTGAATACTCATCTCCTGCAATACAATGCACCACGGACTTAAGAATGCTTTAACACTGGAATGAGCAATTTTTAGGCATGACCTGTAAATGATAAATATATGAATATTTGGTCTTCTCCCTTTCCCAGCGCTGAGGCAAAATTGCTTCTATTAATAGCTGCATTTTTATATAAGACACACATTCATACTCTCTCCATCTCTCATCTAGGTACACATTTCATATGCACCTATGAAGGCGATTTAGTTCAAGTTAGATTAAAAAACTACTTTTTTCTTTTCTTCCTTTTGATGGTTTTAGTTCATTTTGCTGAAAACCTGGAAAAAGCAAAAACAAAGCACTGACCAAATCTTGGCTCACTGGGTGATTTCGGGACAGCCAATAACTCTTGCCCGAGCCTACCCCGCAAGGTTGTTGTGAGGCGAAAATGAAGAGGAAGAGCAACAGCATATAAGCCACCTTGGCTTCCTTGCAGGAAGAACACAGAGGAGATGAACATTATGAACAATGAAGTTGCTTTTTTCCATGCAAAATAAGCAGGACTTGGTTGTGTGATGCCATTGGGCACCCCGAGCACGTGACTCCTTTGCTCTGCCCACCCCCCTTAAACAACATTTTGTGGTGCATGAACACCCTTAGCTTTCCGTGGCAACCTGCATGGACCCCACAGAGGCCCAAACATCCCTTTCCTTTCCTGTTTGGCCCCTTTTATTTAAGAAATTTGTATGCCCTCCTTTGCAAAAGCCTCAGGATGGCTCCCACGAATAAAATTCCACAGTAAATCATATATAAATAGCATAAAACTTTCCAACATATCCTCTCTTAATGGAAGTAATAAAAATAAAATGCAATTCTGTATAAATCAACAAGATGAATAAAATAGTTGTTCAAATGGAGATTAAATAAAAGGTCTTTACCTGGCACCGAAAGGAATAGAGGATCGGCGCCAGGCGGACCTCTCTGGGGAGCACGTTCCACAGCTTGGGTGCCACCACAGAGAAGGCCGTGCTCTGCGTGTCACTAAGCAAGGAAGTCCGCTCTTCGAGGGATCCCAGTCATCCATGGACAGACCCTATAATGGAAGACACATCCCCCTTCCGGAGGCGGCGTGAGAAGCCGGCCCCCACTGGGGCTGGTGCCCCAAAGCTTTCCTCAAGAGCCCCAATTCTCCGCAAAGTCTCTGCCCCTGCCCCTTGCTGTCCAGGAGCCCTGAAAAGCCCTTTAGTCGGGAAGCCCCACAAAACTCAGTGGGGTCAATTCTACACGGGTTGCAAGAATGCCAAATAACCAGCAACAACTGCAGAGAAGAGTGCCAGAAGCAAAGGACGGTTGCGCGGCTTACCATGCCCAGTGACCCCGAAAAGATTACAACACTTCTCAGTCTGATGCAAAGTCAAGTTCAGGGATACGGGAAGCGGCAAGGGAAGAACACTGGTGCAGAACAGTCTGTTTTGTGGTTCTTCAGCCGAAAACTGTCAGCCAAACTGCAAACCTTTTGTTATACAATAAGGAAGTGGCACGGCTCGGGCTCGTTAGGCTGTTGTCCGGACCCGTCTGGCAGCGTGGGAGTGGGGGAAACTAACAAAGAAAAATTAACTGGGTGCTCCACCTCAACAAGCAAGGGTGGGGGAAATAATGCGGGACACCTGTCAAGGTGAGTGTGCGCTGGAGGTAAATACCCGGCTGCAAAAGTGGGCGACCTCTGGCCAGCAGGCCGAACTGTGGGACCCTCCCCGTGGCCACGCCCATTCTCCTGGCCACGCCCCCTGCCCTGGCGGCCCATCATTCAGGGGCACGGCGGCTCTCGCCCCGACTCCCCTTCTGTTGCTTTGCCCAGGTATTATTCTGCCTCAGCAAGAAACGCGATTCACACAGGCAGGCAAAGAGGTGTCTGCAACCGTGCGGCAAAACGGCGACTCGCTTTGCCCAGAGGTCTTCCTGCAAGATGCAGTCATGGATGGAGACCAGCACAGGGGCCAAGTGAAGGATTCTCTGCCAGAAAAGACGCAGGGGCTCCGACCTGCCAGGTGGGAGCTGCCTCTGCTCCGGGGACTGCAGGCCGTGGCCGCTGCAGCCTAGCCGAAACCTGCCTGCTCTTGGTTCAGAGGGCTCAGGCAGCTGCCGAGCGCACCCGTTCACACTGGAAAGCGCCAGATTGTAAGGAGACACTGTGTTTACACACAGCAAACACATCATCCTTGGGCCAAGAACACAAGCACGCTCTCCAGCACCTGAGCTTCCCTGCCAAGAACGGAGTGGCCGACCGCGGCTGCACTGGGGCTTGCCACGCTCAGGGCGAGCTGGAGTTTCACCCGCCTGCCAGAGGGGCAAGGAGGCAGCTCTGGACAGCCAAAGAGCCCCGGGGCAAGCCGACCCGTGATTCGGTGCTGTGGGGAAAAGCACGCTGGAGGCACATGAACACAGTCGGAAACTGTTGGACTCTGCCGCTTATCCCCTTCCGAGCATCCTCCACAGGCACTCACTACAACTCCCAGCAGCCCCAGCCAGCAGGGCCTGTGGTTGCATGATGGGGTTGCAGTCCACAAGTGTGGCAGGCATCAGGTTGCGGGAAGGATGTTGCAGGGCGAGGGGGTGCTAGGCAGGTACCCGGATCATACCTATGCAAAACTCCAACCTGGCACGCAGGTAAGCTTTCCTCCTGCAGCTCTCAACGGCCAACCTTAAGGACTGGAAGCTTGCTTTTTGAACACCCAACACACACGGCTAGGCATTGCCTACATTGGTGAAGTTTTTCCTCTCCTTTAAAAAGGTACAAGATCTCTGCAAACGCTTACTCCCATGGAAAGGTATTGCCAAAGATGCTAGCAGCCACTGCCCTAAACTAAGCCATGCTGGGGGGTTTTGGGGGACCACCCCTGGTGCCTTCAGGCCCACTTATTGTCAGAGTAGGAGCTTCTCTAAAATGGAACTCAGCCCTCGGGTAATAGAAGTGCTGGGTCCCTGCTCAGGTCCCTGGGGAAGATGCCCATCTGCCTGAGACACCCCCACAACCACAACCTTCTCCTTATCCTATCCATACCTGAAATACGGTAGTGAGGCCAAAATACAGGGCCTTCACAGTGCTGGCATCCTCAAAGGATCGACCAGCATCTCTCTTTCGGCCTTTTGACAGATGCCCAGGATCGCAGATCAGGTTGTATAAATGCAGGTTGCTTTGAAATAGGGGAAGAACGATTCTGCCATCACCACTTCAACAGTGACTTTTCCTTGCTGTTTCCTTTCAGGTCATTATACCGTCCGTTTTATTTTACGCCTCCCTGGCAACCATATCAAACAAAGCCCAAGCCACAATGCAGAGGTGGTGCTGGGCACAGCCCGGTAAGACTGGGGCCCCGGATCTTTTCTTTGGAGCAGCACACTTCTGGGGGACCCCAGCGCCCCCCCCCCAGCTTTCCAACCCATGGGAGTTTTGGCAGATCCATGCGCTGCTTTTTGTCCGGTGCGCTCCAGCCACAGGTCTTCTCAGCCCCTGGCGCCATTTCGGGATCTCTGTGGAGCGAGATGAGAAGCAAGGTTGACCCACCCTGCAAAACGTGCACATCTGCGCAGAGCAGCGTCTGGCACATCTGGGCAGCCACAATATTTAGTCTAGGAGAAGAAAACTTGGCACAAGCAAGGAGAGGTTGCACAGATCACAATACAACCTCCAAAAGAGAGGCAGGCACACCATGAGCGGGTGCCTAGCAAATCTTCCGTTCTATCCACTCCCCAATAAAATACAGATCAACATTCCCCTGCCTACCTTTGCCACGGGGGCCACGGGGTCGCACTGCATGAGGCCCGTGTGGTGGTGAGTGTTGACCGAGGACCCAAAATATCTGGGTTCCAGAGCCCGCTCAGTCGTGGTGGTGAAGGGGTTGCAATCACAGCAGGGAAGGAACCGGGGCAAGGCGAGGTCCACCCTAAAAGCTTCTGGGATTAATGCCTGGAGGACTGCAGGCGGACGGACAGCAAATCGTGCGATTTGCCAGGAAACAAGGCCCCCATGGCAGCCTCTTTCCAGGTTGACTTCACATGAGGTGCAAACCGGCCCAGACTGAGACCAAGAAAAACAAACACACCCACAAGCCAGAGACAAAGACACAGATGTGACACGTCGGTTGGGAAACTGAAGAGCTCCGGGATGGATCGATGCCGTCTGATGGATTGGGACATGGCTGACAGACTGCAAGCAGAGCGTACCTATCAGTGGGGACCGATCGGGATGGCAGCCAGCGGTGAGCCGAGTCCCCCAGGCTCAGTTCTGGGGCCAATTCTGCTCAACCCTTTTATCAATGACCTGGAAGAAGGGGTGGCCAGTCTGACCAAAACTGCAGACGATCCCAAGCTTATTTTATTTTACTGTATATATTTTAATTGTTATTGTTTGAATGTATTTTGTATTTTATTTGATGTTGTAAGCCGCCCTGAGGCCTTGGCAAGGGGCGGCATAGAAATGTTTTAATAAATAAAATAAATAAATAAAATTGGGGGCAGGGGTCACACCTGGGGAGCAGGCACTCCAGAACTAAAGGGACCTGGACAGACTGTGGAAGAAGGTGGGAGGCAACAGGATGGTGTTCGATACAAGGCTTGCACCTGAGAATCAGGAATCAGTGCCACAGGGACAGGATGGGCGACAGGTGGCTGGAGAGCAGCGCTTGTGAAAAGGAACTTGGGGTATTTATTGACGGCAGGCTAAACATGAGCCAGCAGTGCGATGCAGCGGTTAAAAGGGAGAATGCGCCCCTTGAACGCATAGCCAGACGCATGGCTCCCAGATCGAGAGAGGGACTGGCGCTGCTCTCGAAGACTCCGGTGTGCGCACACCCAGAGTTCTGGACCCAGTTCTGGGCTCCGTGTTACGAAAGAAACATAGCAAGGTTGGAATCGGTTCCAGCACGGAAGCCAGATCGGGGGGATGCCATGTGAGGTGCGACTGAGCGTGCCGAGATGCCTGACTTGCACGCTTTGCAAACTGAATTCTTCGAACCAACCCCACACGCTCCTTCCCTCCAAGGTTTTGCTTGGAATACCGAACCCCATTATCCACACTCGCTTCCCTGAGCGGCATGCCACCATGGCTCCAGCTGACCCGTGGCTGGGAAGTGTTCCTCCAACTACACAGGAATCAGCCTGGCTCGCCCAATAAAGGGAAATGAGTTCTTGCACCAAGCTAATCGCTCAGTGACAATGACAGGGCGTCCTCCCAACCTTTCCACTGTAATTTTCTCACGAGAAGAATGCTCTTCTCTGGCACTTTATCCGGACGGCCCACGAAGGGAGCAAGAAAGTTGCCATCTTTTGCAACAGCAAAAAAATCCACCAGTTGGATTAGTGTCAAAAGAGTGTTCTCGTCCGCTCAACCTCTCTTAAGGTGACTGAGATGCTTGTGAGAAAGAGACAAGGCCCCCAAGATTATCTTTTTTAAAGAAAATATTTAAAGCAATTCTTTAGAGAGGAAGTGAGGAACCCATACCACACAAAACTGTTGCTGGACTGCAATTCCTATCAACCCCAGAGAGCATGGCACGGCAAGTAGTCAAGAACTGTGATCCAAAATATTAGGAAGGTTGTAGGATGAGGAATTTAGGGTTATAGCTTCCGGCCCTATGCTGCTAACCTCCCAGATGTTTCTGGCTTACCAGTTCCAGCACGCCTGACCACCGGCCAAGCTGGCTAGGGCTGATGGGAGCTGACATCCCAACATCTAAGAAGGCATCGGGGTTACCCACCCTATGCCTGTTAATTCTCTTTGCAGATGTTAGCAACTGGCACAAAGTGAATGTGAAGCTGCTACCTGTGTGTAGACACAAGAGAGGGTATGAAACCATGTATGGAGAGACAAAAGGGGAGGAGGAGGCATTTCTTCTGCCCCATCATCATATAAAAACCCCAAAGAGGTGTGGCCAGAAAATTGAAGATTCGGGGCAGACCAAAACCAAGCCGCCTTCACACAATGCAAACGTTAATAACAAAAGCGACGCAGAGTTAAACTCTGAAACTCACTTCCACAAGATGCAGCGATGGCCACCAACTTGGACAAAATCATGGAGAAGACTACTAGTCCCCATGGTTATATGCTGCCCCCAGATTGGGGTAATTGCTGGGGAACATGGGTGGGAAGGTGCTGTGGCCTTCACACACCCCGGGAGAGGTTCCCTTGGGCAGCTGGGTGGCCACCCTGGGGCAAAGGCCGGTCGGGATGGACCCTTGGCGTGGTCCGGAGGGCCCTGCTCACGTTCTCCTCTACTCTGAGGCCTGTTCCATGACATGCACGCCTTTGGGGGGAAATGTGAGCCATCTGCTTCAGAAGGGGTTGCACTCACTTGCAAGCCCATCAACGCCATGATGAACTGAACCGGAGTCAAAATTTTAAGAAATCGCAGAGCAGCATGCAAATAAGGGAGTGGGACAACGCAAAGCAGAGGGACCTTCAGCCACCAGTGCCCACGGGAGTCTGTGCGCTTCCTGCGCCAGGCCTGTCTCCTGCACACCTCTGACAAAACAGCCAGATGTGCTGGACTGGCACTCCTGAATCCAGCAAGGAGGGCCCATGGGCAGAGTTTCAGAGCTGTCGGCAGAACACCTGGAAGGCACTCCTGGGCTGGTGAAAGATCACCAAGGCTTCAGCCATGGTCCGCCTGGAGAGGCTGGCCAGTTAACCCAGGACTATCTGCACCAGCCCACCGCTCTTTCCCACCAACTCCGTCCGCAAAGACAGTTAAAAGGCACTGGCAGAGGTCTCTGCTTTTCCCCACCTGGAATCCTAAATGCATTTCCCCCATGCTGGGCTCACACAGAAACAGAGCGAGTGGGAAGGGGTCTCCCGGGCCATCTAGTCTGACCCCCGGCTCCAGCCAGCCCCGCTCACGCCATGCCCACCCTGTGCATGTCCAGCCTGTCTTTGAACACCCGCACCGATGGGGCCTCCACCACCTCCCCTGGAAGCCCATTCCATACAGAAAGCCGTTCCTGTTTTAGCTCAAGCCTCCTTAAGCCCTTGCCATTCCTGTACGGCAAGCGAGGACTGAGCCAAGCTCGCACACAAGGGATGTACTTCTTAATTCTGTTTAGCAATCATGTGCCAACATCACCAGCCCTACCCCAGATTTCTGAACCTACACCAGAAGGTGAGCAACCTGCATCCCTCTAGATGGCTTGGCCTGCAGCTTCCATCTGCACCACTGGTTATCCTGGCAAAGGATTATGGGAATTGCACCCAAATCCTAAGCAGGACCAGGTTGCCCATCACCAGTTTTAGTACACAGAAATCAGAACTCTCAAAAGGTCAGGATCTGAATGCCCAGCATTGCTGGCCCATGGCCATGCCCACAGGGGATTCTGGGAGCTGAAGTTCAGAACATCTGGAGCTCTCCCTTTAGCCTTCATCTTGGAACCCAACAGCCGTGTGTCCCCCCCCATCACGGAGTCAGGAAAGGAAGTAGCAGACCCACAACGAAATCGGTCGCCAGGACCTAGTTCCCCTTCCTTCGCTCATTGCGCCGCCTGCCCTCACACAAGCGAGAACCCCAGGAAGCACAGCGGCTCCGATCCGCCCAGCGCAACAGGGCAGCTGGGTTCACAGCCCGTCTCAGGCACTATGAATCACTAGGTGGCCTGTGGCAAGTTATTCTCCAGCTGTGCCACAAAGAACGGAAAACCAGCTCCACTTCGGAAGATGCACAGGCCCGCCTCATATTTCAGGACGTTTCCTCAAAACCTGCTCTGCACAGGAGGCAGAAACCCGACGCCAGAAGACCTGCCAGGGATGGCCGCTCTCCTGCCACTGCAGAGGTCTACCTTGCAGGGAGGGTGGGAAGGGCGGCCGGCCAGCCAGGAAGCCGCCCACAGCGAGCTGGAGAGTCACACTGGGCTTACTGGGAAGACAGGCACAGCCCTGAGAAAGCCCAAAGTATCTGCTTGTCACGGTTTAAAAACTAGGCAGGGGTCCGATTCTTGGGGAGTCCATCCTGAACCGGGAGCACAACTCAGCCCCGGGGCTGAGCTCTTCTTAAAAGTTCAAATGGGAGGAAGCTCACCGAGGGCTTCAGGGAGGCCGGATCCTGCCCAACAGACACCCCCCCCCCAACTGTGGGAAAAAATAAACATTTAGCGACGGCCCTCCCTCTTGGCATCTCCACCCCCGTTTGCTCAGTTTTCCACCATGGACACAGGAATAGCCTTCCCAAACGGAAGATGTTTCGACCTAATTCACAGGTTCGCCGCCTGCGGCATGCCGGGCTGGGGCGCATGGGCTGTGTAGTCCAAAGCATCCGGAGCGCGGCTGACGGGGGAAGGCGGCACCCACGCCGCTGGCCATTTCCGAAACAACCCGACGCCCACGCCGAGCGGCTCCCAAAGACGCCCGCAGAGTCTGCAGGGGCTTACTCTCAAGTAAACCATGGCAGCACGGCTTAAAACCCTCCTCCAGGAAGCCATTCGGGGGGCTCGTGGCAACCCGACCCCCAAAACAGCCCCCCACGCATCTCTCCAGTCGCCGACTCCGCCAGCACACCGGCCAAACCGGAGCCCGCTCTCCCGCCCGTTTACACGCCAGCAGGAGCGCAGAATTCGAATCAAGCCACCAGCGGCTGCAAGGACACCGGGCAGAGGGTGCGGGGGAAAAAGGGCCCCCCGCTCGCTCCTACCTGCGGGCGAATGCGGCGCGAACCATTCCCGAGGCAGCGCCGGCTTCCCGCGCCGGATCCGGGAGCGCACGCCGAGGCGGAGGGCCGAGTCCCCTCGGCCCCCGGACAAAAGCGGAGCGGAGCGGGGCCGCGCACGCGGCGTCGGGGCTCCGGGCTGCACCGGCCGGCGGGCGGGCGGGCGGAAGCCCCCCTGCTCTCCCGGAGCGAAGCGGAGCGGGTCGGGTCGCGCGGCAGCGGCAGCCGCAGGCCGGAGTCTCCGCTCGGGCGCCAGACGGCGACTAAAAGCCGAGCGCGCCGCATCACATGAGCCCGAAGGCGCTCCCGGCGCCGCCTCTTAAAGGGGACGCGGGGCCGGGCGGGAGGCCACGCGCGAGGCGGGGCACGCGCGCCCTACTCGCGAGGAAGCCCCCGCCGGGCGGGGCGGATCCCGCCGGGTCCAGATCCGCGGGGACGCTTCCCCGCGAGCAAATCCTATGGAAAGGTCTTCCTTCCCGGAGGAGTGCACTCCGGAGGGGAACTCACGGAAACTCACTCTTTCCTAAGAGTAAATGCATGGGAATCCACCAGACTTCTCTTAAAGAAGAAACCAGCCTGGGAGGTGGGGGGGGGTTGTGGATGAACTGGCTTCCTGAACCATGGCTTATCGCCTTGTCCGAACCCTGTGGAGGCAATCAGCCATGGTTGGAAACAACCCAGTCTCCAACTCTCCATAGGTTCTCTTTACGGGTCGTTTGGGTCGTTTGTGGCGAGCAACCTTTAGGGCTCGTTCGAGCAACTGGGTTTGCACAGCGTGGTTCAACAACCCGCACACAACCAAACCCATCCCTTGACGCAGGGTATTGGGGGGTGTCTGGACCCAATCCACGGCCTGTTCATGGCCAACGGACCTGAAGTTTTATTCCCCGAGCTGAACAAAGTGCTTCCAGGCTGCCGGTGTGGGTTTCAAGCTCATGTCAGGCTGAAATCAACTCTTCAAACAGGATGTGAGTTTACTTGGAACTCGCCCACTCAACAAGCCGCCTTGTCCGTCAAGGATATTGTTGGTTCGGAGCCTTTATTTACACGCTGGCCAGTAACGTGGGTGAAAGAAGGGCGAGAGAAAGAGGAGGGAACGCAACAAACAACATGAAAACAGCCATGTATAATTATGCACCAAATGCGCACCCGGTGATTACTCCAGCATTATACAATTTTGACTGCCGGATGAATAGACCAGCGTCATGGAGAAGATGCTGAAAATACAACAAACAGAACTGGGAGCCGCGCTCCAGTCCTGTCTAGAAGCGGTTTTCTCGGAGATGGAAGGTGTTTTTCCAGAGATTCGCAGATATAAATCCTTCATGGAATGGTCTGCAGATGTTCAGACATGCATGGACTTCCAGTCTTATTTCTTTTAACGGAAGCCATTTGCTTTCTCTAAAGAAGAAACTGTGTGAGTCAGAAATGTGTTTATGAAAATAAATATAATAAATAGAAATATAATAAAAATAAAATAAATATGATTCACTTGGCACCTGCTCAGGGTACTTAAGAAGTGGCGTTATACTGAATAGTGGGTTTTCCCCTATTTAACGATGTATTTTGTGTTTGAGTACTTTGTTAATATAAATAAAATTATTTTTTTAAAAAGGCAGAGGTCATTCTCATACCATTTTCATCACACCACCAGCTACCTGATTTTTTTAAAGATTCAATGTAACTAACACAGATAAACTAGGTTCGGCTATCAGAGCTTGTCAAGACCCATGGATTATCGTGCTTGAATCCAGTCGAGATAACAAACCAAATTAAAACTTTTCTTTACGTTCGGTGGCACTTCGCGGAGCATCCATGGCCTTTATGTTATCAGCTCCCGTTCCTCGTCTCTTTTAGCTGTTTTAAATTTGCTGTGCTAAAGCTCTTCTAGGATGTTCCTCCCTTGTCGCTGCGTGTTGCGGTTTTGGAAAGCATCCAGAGTGCTCGGGCTATCGGAAGGCATGGAAACAAAAGGAGCCAGGCTGGCCAGCCCTCCCGGGATCCCCTCCCCGTCTGGGGTTGCCCAAGCAGTGCCATCTGGTGAACGCAACTTGCAACTCTGGTGACGCTTCCTCTACCGCATCTTGGGTCAGGCCAAGCGTTGGGTCATTATCTCTGAACTGCACAAGCTGTACTGTGCCAGAAGATTGCTCCCAAGACTGCCCAAGTCCAGCGTGTGCGCAAGAAGGGAGTTCTCTGGGTCGCTTCGGCCCTGTGGGGTGCGCAGGCTCGGCTCAGGCTCTCTGTGGCCAAGACAGGAAGAGCAAACTGTGCGCCCGGACAAGACAGAAGAGTGAAAACCGTTTCTGACCCCTCCAGCCCTGCTTGGGATGCTATCCAAAAGCAGGTGGGATTCTTCTAACAAAAGTTGACAAAAGTTTGACTGGCTGAAATGAGGGGGGTGCGTACACGTGGACACAAGCACAAAGAGATGCAGAGACACAAAGACGCGCGCACACTCCAAAAAACAGAGCTGAAACTCCAGAAACTTTCCAGGCTCCTGGGAAGAAAAGGCCTTGAAAAGGAGGGTACAGGAGTGGGAGAAAAGCCAAGATGCGTAAAGGGTGGGGGAAAAGTAGAGCTGATGGGGGGGGGGTTTTCAAGGGGGGGGTGCCATGCCAGCTCCTGCTGCGAAGGATAAAATTGTGCCGCTTGCAAGCGCTGGAGCTCCCTGGCTGAGCTTTCAAAGGGGAAATTTGCCAGCTTTCGGCTGGGGGGGGGGGCGGTCAAGCAGGTTCCACTTAAACTATACAGAGATAAAGATGCTAACCAAGTTCTGACAACTCAATAACCCATGCTCAAGGGCTGAGTGTAGGTGATCGCCAAACCATGGATTGTTGTCTGAACCCAGCTGCACTAGCAAGCCATGGTTATTTAACCACAAGCAACCCACGAAGGTTACCCATGGTCTGATGTTGGCTTGTGAACTCTGGCCTGCCGCTGTCACTCTGAATCTGTTGCAGAAACCATTAGCACTGAAGCAGCCACTCGCACAAGGTTAGGATGGGAGTTGTAGTCCCAGCCATCAGGAAGGACAAAGGGGTCATTCATCCCTTATGTTGTGAGCCGCCCCGAGGCTTCAGCGAATGGGGCGGCATAGAAATGTTTTAATAAATAAATAAATAAATAAATAAATAAATTGTATTTTTGTTTTCTTTCAGCAAAGTACATCTATGCAGACATGGGAAAGATTTGTCTCTACTCAATGCAAGAATGAAGGCTTTATTTTCCCCAAATTTTCATTTATAAAAATAGTTTAAAAATCCTAATTTCCAGTGTGTACATTAAAAAAAACATATCAAATCGCAGACCAACAATTCCTCCATGGAGAAACCAATCATTTCATTCCGTTAAAAAGCATCAGTAGAATTCAAAGCTAGGGCAGGCCTCCCTTAGGAATTCAGAGGTTAGGAAACGTGTAGTTTCCTTAAGGCACTTTTTTGCAGTATGCTAATTTGCATTATAATTATTCCTGAAATCCATTCTAAATGCATCTTGATTTCAGAAAAACCAGCCTACAACCGTCCCGTGGGGTTCACTGCTCCAGAAAAAGGGAAAAAATGAGCAACCTCTGATGAGGATGAGGATTCCTGCCAAATCTCTGCATGAGTTGCTGGCCCTCAGCAGAGGCTGCTCACTGCCTCTCTGTATGAGTGGCTGGTCCTTTCAAAGGAAGTGTCCTGCAGGAAAAGGGAACGCACGGGCTGGGAAAAGGGAACGCACGGGCTTGGCTGTGGGTGGTTCATGTTTGCTTCTGCACATCCGAAGAGGAAATCGTTTGACGTTTTAAAGCAGAACTGGGCAACTTTGAGTAGCCCTTTTCATGGACTGCATTGCCGGCTCATACAAGGCAGTCGGGGTGTGTGGGGGGGGGGGGGTACAGAAGCCATCACTGAATATTGGAGGCCTCCATTGGTCAGGATGGGCCAACTTACCTTGAAAACAAGCCCACTCCATCCATTCTGAGCGGTTTTGCTGGCAGCCTTCTTTTAAAAACACACACCCAGAAAGCTCACTTAAAAGTGGCAAAAAGTGAATTTGGTGATCCACAGGGACCATGGTACCTGGACCAATTTGGGCTTGGCCCACGAAGATGTGTTTGGCATGCGCCTCCATCTCCCGGCATCCCTGGCTCTTTGTCCATGCTGGCAGGGGATTCTGGGCATTGAAGTCCAAAGCATCTGAAGAGCTACCATCTACCTGCCCCTGATCTAGGGTGCCAAATTCATGCAGATGTAGGAAGTTTTACAAGAAGGCCAGTGTGTCCATCTCCATTATCAATCAGCTTGCTGAGGAACCCCAAGAAGTTTCTAACAAACAGGAGGGTAGAATCAATTAATCTGAAACGGCTTGCTCGGTTTAAGAGATGCCGCAAGCACAATTCGCAATGCATGTTTAGGCAATAAAACCTCCTAAAACCCACAGCATTCCCCGGCTTCCGTATCTAACAAAATGCAGGATTGCATTTTGAATTAACATCTGAAAATGGACAGACAGAATCTCTAATTGCAGATGCCGGCTGGAAACTCAAGCCACCCAAAACCTGTGCTATACTGCCACCTTGTGGCAGAAGCTGGTTGCTTTCCACCTTTCCACCGTTCCTGACTCGAATAGCAAATTTGTCACGCTCACAGTTCAATCCAGTGCAAACTGTTAGACTTTTTGAGGCTTAAAAGCGGAAGGCCAAGGCAGCCTCACTTGAGTAGGGCATCCATCGGTCCTGCTTTCTCGGGGGTTAAGCCCCACTGCCCACAGCAACACTGCTTTCCAGATATTCCTGCAAAGAAAGGGCAAGCCACCAAGAGTTTGGGACTAGCCGGCGTTTTAATCCTCCCTGGGCTCAGCAAGGCAAGATCTCAGGAGCCATGGGATGCCTCCCAGCAGACCCAGGTTCTGCAGAATAATTTGGCCCAATCTGCATAATTTATTCAGACAGCGGGTGGCAGGCTCTTCCCCATCCAAGGTTGAGAGAGTATCCAAGGTGAATCCCACACAGAGTGAGGCTTAGCTCTGTCATAACATGAGCCCATTTCATTTCAATGTGTCTACTCTGTGTAGGACTTACCGGTCATAGACCCAAAGGCTGCAGGCTAAGCTGTAGAACCACCAGACTCTACCTTGACTCCCAGTGCTCCTGACCACGGGCTCTGCTGACTGGGAATGATGGGAAATGCAGTCCAAGCACATCTGAAGGGCATCGGGTTGCGGGAGGGTGGTGCAGGGCAGTTCTGCTAACGTCGTTCTATAACCCCTTCCAGAACAGAAGCCAGATCGGGGCCCAGCAGGGAAGCTACCTAGCCCAGGTAGGAGGAGCTGGGACATGACTCCTCACACACAAGCTCCCAGGACTCGGCTGCTCCCCCAGGGAACTCACAGCCTCAAGATGTGGCAAGGACTAGCAGCTTAGATGGCTCTGGAGAAGGGAGGAACAGACTGGGCACTTCCATCAAGGACTCTCCCCGATGGGACCCCCAATGCGGAAGCAGCATATCCCGGAAAGCAGGGGCCACTACCTCTGGACACTGCTCCAGCGATGGGGACTTCTGTCTGATCGCAAGACCAGGGGCTCCAACACGGCCCCTTGTCCTCGTGGCCAATGGTCAGGGATCAAAGCTGCCCCGGAACAGAAGGACTTTGCACCGATCCGCAGTGGGAAGCACAGAACACACGAACAGCCAGAGGACCCTGACGAGCCGAGCCGAGCCGGACGGGTTGCTGGGCAGCCACGGCGGCTGTCGGGACGGAGGGGCGAGGAGCAGCGGCCGCACCCAGTGGCCCGGCTCAGCCGAGCAAAGCTTCGTAGTCAATGTACCAGGCCACCTGGCCGGAGCTGGGGTCCACCCCCGAGATGGGCCACTTCCGGGGCTCGCGCCCCGCCCGGCTGACCACGGTCACGATGTCGTGCTTCCCCTTGCCCATCACCAGCACCGCCACCCGCTTGGCCCGGTTGATGAGCGGCAGGGCGAGCGTCATGCGCTGGTGGGGCTTGACCGGGCTCTCCGTGAAGACCACGTCCGGGGGGCCCTCGAGGCCGGCGGGCGAGTGCGGGAAGAGGGACGCCGTGTGCCCGTCGTGGCCCAGCCCCAGCAGCACCAGGTCGAAGCTGCTGTTGGCCACCAGGGCGGCGATCTCGTTGGCATACAGCTCCGGGCCCTTGTCTTCCTCCACGCACAGCCTCCGGTTGAGGTGGACGGGCATCGGGTGGACGTTGAAGAAGGAGAGCCGGACATGCCGGATCAAGTGCTCGTGCAGGTTCCCGAAATTGGACTCCAGGTCGGTGAGGGGGACGCAGCGCTCGTCCACCACCCACACATGGCTCTGCTTCCAGGGGAAGTCGAAGTGGTGCGTGGCCAGCCGCTGGAACAGAGCGAGAGGGCTGGATCCGCCCGAAAATGCCATGTGGAATTCCCCGGATCTCCGGACGGCAGCCAGGGCAGCGCTTGCTATGTCAGACGCCAAGCGGCAGATCAGCTCCTCGGACCACGCGGTGATCAGCTGGCTTTGCCGAAAGTTGGACTGGATAGTTTTGTATTTGCCCGGCGTCTGCTCGTCCGCGGCATCCATCACCTCCAGGGCCTCCTTCGCCACGAAGGACACCTCTCGGCCAAGCATCTCAAAATCCAGGAGGTGCTTGTTTCCTGGGCCCCCAGGGTACAAACGGGGGACTTCACCGGCCAAGCTGTGGAGCAACGGGCTCCAGAACCCCCAGGATGCAAGAAGGTTCTCCGTTGTGATGAAAGAGTCTTTCTTGCCGTGGTAAATCCTGGAAATAAGAACAGACTGAAGGAGATTGGGAGGGCGACTACCTGGAGAAGGGCCTTCTCCGTGGTGGTCCCCCAACTGTGGAATCCGCCCCCCAGAAAGGACCAATTTGGCCTGGCGCTGTCACTTTATTCTTTTCAGAGTCAGTTCAAAACCTTTTTATTTTCCCAATGTTTTAAGACCTGCCTGTTTTAATGGGGGTTTTATTATTAGCTAAATTTTAGGCCGCTGTGTTTTAATTTAATTTCCTTCACCACATTTTGTATTGTTAAGCCGTCCCGAGACTTCGGGAATGGGACGGTCTACCAAAATCTTAAATAAATAGATACCTGGAGATCAGGTGGGCGTAAGGGTCCCGCTCCATCACTGGAACATACACGTGGTAATCCGAGAGGGGCTGACCAAACAGACGGAGCTGTGGGGGATTTAGGACTCTTTTCCAGCTGTCTTCCGGCATGAAAGGTTCGAACAAGTTGCGACTCACGAGGACAGCGGGGGAGTTCAACTCTCCGTGCCCGATGTAGAAAACCAGCTGCCGCGGTTTGCAGGGGCTAGAGCCAGCGTCCCACGTGGTTTCGTTCTGGGTGCAGTAGGCCCGGTTCTTGAACAGGACGCGGATGTAGCCGACCCGCTCATCCAGGAGTTTGCCAGAGATGAGGAGGAAGGGAACCCCCTCCCAGCGGAGACTGTCCAGTTGTACCAGCACCCCTGAAACAGCAGGATGATGGGCGAGTGAGTGGCACAGCCGGGGTGGGAAACACACGCCCTGAGCCCCATGCGCCTTGACACGTGGCTTATGCTGTTTTTGCCAAGACTGGCTTTGTGTGTTTCTGCTCAGGCCCCGGAGTTCTGAACCCCGGTTCTTGGCCAGGAGGAAATGAGCCGTTTTTGTCCGGCCACACACCCTGTGGGAGCTGTTTTATGGGCAGGCCACTGCCCACTCCGTGGCAGCCATTTTGTGAGCGCGCCCACTCGATTCTCCCAAATATGTCCAAGAAGATGGGAATCCCTGGGTTAGGAGAGGCCTGGAACAAACCTGCCCGGCCAGGAATCTGAGCCCAAGGACTGATTCTCAGGTGCACCGACCTTGCAGGGGTGTTGTGCTGGAAAAGTGAGGGAGGCAGTACCTGGAGCTCGCTAAGGAAAGGTCGGAAGAAAACACAATCCGGTACTGCACTGTGGCACGTTCAGATCGGGGCGACTGAGTCGGCCGCGACACTCCCCAGATCCAGCCCCAGCCCCACCTGGACCTCGGGCTCACCTGCGAAGGTTGGCGTCCTGCTGAAGTAGTTGGGCGGCTTCTGCATCTCCTCGCTCACGTGGCTGTTGTAGCCTTCGTACTGGCCGACCACGGCGCTGCTTCTCTCCAGCCCCCGCAGGGTGGAGAATGCTCGGAGCTTGCCTCGGAGGACGTCTTCGGAGCTGCTGATGTTTCCCGGCAGCTCCATGGCGAGAAACAGCAGGATCTCGGTGAGATGGTTTTGGTGGATGTCGCGGAGCACCCCGTATTCTTCGTAGAAGCTGGTGCGGTCTGCGTGCCGGGGAAGGGAACAGAGGCAAGAGCCCGATCAGGCCGGGTGATGGTGGGCGACCCATCAAACTCTTTCAAGGATGTAGGACCACCAGGCATCACTCCGGATTCATCATTGTGAATCCTCTTGGCATTTACTCCAACAAGGAGTCTGCCAATACTGCTAATAAACAAACCCAACATTCGGCCGATTGCTCCATAGAGTAGTATCTTTACTGACATTAATATTAATTCCTTATGAATATACTTAGTAACAATGTTATTTGTAGTGTAATAGTTAATAAGTATGTATCAGCAGCCATGCATTGAATATTCATCATTTTAATATCACTAATGCAGTGCATTTAGGATTGTCATAAGATAAAATCGGATGATATATTTACTTAGGATGATGAGAGTTTCTGTGTTTCTTTTAGCATCCTGACACAGTCTCTTGTTCCCAATAGAGAAAAGATGGAGGGCCTAGAGATAATCCACAAGCTGGATCTGTATTCCTAGCATCTGATTCTTACAGATCTACTGCCACTGTACATGGAGGCTCTACCATGGAAAGGGCCTTTCCGATGGTGGTTCTGCTTTTGTGGAACATTCTTTCCCTGGGAAATGCATAAAGCAGCCTTCAGCAATCTGGTCCCTTCCAGATGTTTCGAACATCCATTCCCACCTGCCTCAACCAGCATGGCCAAAGGCTGCAGTCCGGAAACATCTGGGGGGAACCACCTAACATTTTCCCTGCTCATTTTAAGAGGTGCAACCATATATTTTTTTTTAGTATCGCTACACCTGTCAGGTGATGCCTTTGTACACTGTCTTGTACAAATTGCCTTGAAAGCTGCAACCTTTCACAAGATTCGTGCCTTGTTCGTTTGCAAAAAGATCAGCCACACAAAGCACAGCCGTCCTGAACGGAAAAGCCCGTGTCCCGTTCCGCCGGTTTGAAGGGTGTCCCTTCGCCTGCCGTCCTCGGAGGAGCGGATCAAAATGAAATTAAAGCACAAGAACAAGAAACGAAGATCTGCGTGAGACCCGCGAGAGGTCTCTTGCTGCAGTGCCCTTGAGAAGGGACAGCAAGGAAAAACTCCAGGAGGTGAAGTTTTCTTCCAGCCTCCACCTCTTTCTGGGTGATCCAAGATTTGGGGAGGGCGTGCATGCAGGAAGGAAGGCGATTCATCTCGAAAGTGTCCCAAATTTCTCCTTCAGGCTGCCTGCACAGCTGCACAACTGCACCGACTCTCCCCCCTCAAACTTTGGAACGAGGAAATCCATCTTCTTAATCCGAGGCGCGTACATTAACGAAATCGATGCTGCACCGCCTTTCGCTGGGTGGCTGGCAAGACAGTCACCATCTGGGGGATGGGAGGGGGGGAAGTGGGAGAGGGAATAGTGCCTCCCCCCATCGCTTTCTGAGCTGTCACCTTTTCCTCCCCGGGAAGGAGAAGCCGGAGTGTGTCAGGCCAACATAATAATCATAATTTGGACCAGTGTGCCTACGTGCGTTTATAGATCATCCTGGAGTTTTTAATAAAGTGATGGCGAACTGGCAGCTCAGGCGGAGGCTGCGGAACGGGGGGGGGGGTCCAGCAGGAGTCCCTGGGACCAGCCTGGCTGCAGAAGGGACGTACACAACACTGCAGTGCCGGCCAGCACAGCCGTGCCCTTGACTCTGCAGCAGTGCAGGCTCGGTAGTCCCGCCGTGCTGGGAACTGGGTTCGCCGGCCGGGGAGCAGCGAGACCGTAAAGCTGCACTGCAAGGAAAGCTGCCGACTTTCACGGACCCCGTGCCCCAGGAAATGATCCACCGGGGTGGGGGCGAGGCAGGATCTTTCCCAGCCCGACCTGGAAATTGCGGGAGAGTCATCCCCGGGCCCTCTGACATGCAAAATGCGTGGCATGTGCCATTAAGGGGATCTCAACACTTCCCTCAAGTCGCCAGTCCTCATGGGTCTTTATCACTTAAGAGAGAGACCTGCGCAGCTGCTTTATACAGCTTCGGGCCACCTAACCCAGGACTGCGGTCTCCATCTGGGTGCCCTCCAGGGCTTTGGAATGACAGCACCCATCAGCCCCAGCCAAACCAGCCAAAGAGCAGGGTTGGTGAGAGTTGCAACCTAAGACATTTTGAGGAAGCCTGTCTGGGGGAGGGTGGCCTGCAGTGGCTCAGTGGCTCTCCAAGGCCTTTGGCAGGGTCTTTTCCCAGCCTTAATGGGGGTCATTTCCAATGGAGCTGGGCCAATCGGTAGTTCTGCTGCCAAGCTGAGATGTCTCCCCTCCTCTAGGTTCGGGGCAAAAGAATACCACCTTCTTTGCAGGCTGTGCATAAATCAATGGAATCCTTTCTTGCAAAAGGTGGTGAGGACTAGTAACCTTAGGCGGCGCCTCAAAACAAAGAAAAAAAGTTTGCATTTAGAAAGGAGAGGTCTATAAGGCAAGACAGGTTTTTTTTTGTAAACCATCTTGAGATTTACAATAATTAGATGGTATATAATACATTCAAAATAAATAAATAGAATCATGCTGTTCAGAAACAGTTTGAATGCTAAACATCAGGTGCCAGGGATAAGTTCTGGGAAAGGTTTATGGGTTGCCCAGAGACATTTGTCTGACCAGCACTGGAAACAGTACACTGAGTTAAGATGGAAGATTGCTCTGAATTATGATTACCTTACATTTATATCCTGCTTTTCTTTTTCTTACAACCTAATGCAAGGTGATTTGGAAGGTTGTCTCTTTTATCCTCGTAACAACCCTGGGAGGTAGGTTAGGCTGAGAGTCCCTGACTCTCCCGAAGTCACTCAGGGTGCTTCATGGCCAAGTGAGGGCTAGAGCCCACATCTCCAAGGGTCCCAGTCCAGTGCTCTAACCACTAGACCATGTTGAATGAGCCGGATCCGCTGCTATACAGCAAAGCAAACCAGGAACGTGGTTTCCGAGCCTAGAAATGCTTGCAAAAATCTTGAGGCTTAGAAACAAGACAGCAATAAAATCTATTATTACTAATTTTCCTAAATTGGTAACTCTAGGAAAGAGGCCCATACCTGGGAGATAAGAGGCAAATGACGGGAAGCAGAAGGGCTCACGAGCTTCTTCTGGGCTTTACAGAACCAGGTTCGCCTCTTGCCTCTGCCAAAGGGGCTAGCAATGCTCCCCCTCTCAGTCCTTCGATCTGCTAAGCTAGGCTAGCTTGTGGCCTACCCCGCAGGGACGGTTTACAAGGCTGAAATGAAGACTTTCACAGCCTTTGGAAATCAAGAGGGTGTAACCCAGAAGGTTTATGGAGACGTGGATTCCACTGGGTGGATAACAATATGTAAAAACTCACAAAAACCAGTTTAAATATGATGAAGGCGGGTGGCTCTCCCCTCAAGCCACGGTCTCACAGCCCAAGGGCCAAATTTGGGAGAGATTCCCGGGACTGCATTCCCCTAGTGGGTGGGGCTAAACATGAAAGGGGAGGAGCCAGAGGCAAAGTGGGTGGAGTGATATTCCAGTGGCTGAAAGCTCTTTTTGCAGGGAAATGAGTCTCAGGGGAAGCATCTAAACCTTCTGTATTTAAAGCCAAACCCACGTACTTTTCACATCCACCGTCTCCTTCAAGACGATTTCCACCCGTTCCACGTGGTGCTGGTTCCAGATGGAGTCCAAATGCTTTCGGTTCTGGTCTCGGAAGGGCAGGATGTGAGCCACTGCCTTTGGGATGTGGAGAGGTTGGGAAGGGAAGGGAAGAGACAAGATCAAAACATGTACGAGGCTGGAAATCCTGAGGCCAGCATTTCGTCACTCCTGGCAGAAGAAAGAACTCGCAACGGCCGAGGAGACGCTGAGCAAGCTGCAGGGAAGCAAAGAAGGCAGGCACTGCGAGGGAGAGGCGGGCGCTGAGCTCCCCGGACGCTGGGTCCCTTCCTTCTGCCATCAAATTCCTCAGCAAGATCCCAGACCCTGGCTGGCTACCGGAGCTTGTTAGGTCCGGAAGCCACCCACAGATGGGAGTCGTATTCCACAGGTGTCGAACCTCTTTCTGCCCGTTCCGTTCTGGAGAAGCTCCCAGACGGAGGCTTATTTCAGAGCTGGGCAGGGCTAACGGCGAAAGAGGCAGGGTGAAAAATGATGAGGACGTTTCAACCTTCTGGAAGGGGGAAAAACGTCACAGAAGCTGGGAAACCACCAAATGATTGGGAATTGGGAGAAGGGTGTACAGACGGGGGGGGGGGGAGTACGCCCATCTGGGAAGCCTGAAATGCCAGATTTTGACACTGGGTCTCCCATAGTTCACTTAAAAGAGCTTTAATTTGCAAAAAGTACTCAGGGCACAAGCGAGCGGGCCTTTTCCTGCGCCTAAATCAGGAGCGTCAGCATCTCACGCCCTGGGCTCGGCTCTTGCCAAATCAATGCGGGTCCGACATGGTCATGTGCCTCGGAGGACGAGTCGCTTCCTCCTGGACAAAGGGGCCTTCCTTGCTAGCAGACATCTTCCCCAATCCGGAAGTGCGACGCTCTACCCCAGCCACGACCAAAACGGACAGCTCCGTCTCCTCGTACAGCCAGGGCAGCCCAGCTGGAATTGTTTTGGTGGGGCTTCTGGGGACCTGTCGAGGGTTTGTGTCTCTCCCCTCCATTCAAGTCAGAGCCATCCCCGCATGGAGATAAAGCGAGGCTCGCTCGCATCTCCTTGATGCACTAGCTTTCTACGCTGAGGGGCAGGTCAGCACAGAGGAGCTTGCTGCCAGGCAAGGCCCAGCCCTGCAGCCCCCAGAGTTCAGAAGGCACAGCCCGACTCCTTCCATGAGGATCGCGGCTCCTCCTGCACATGAGCGCACGGGGTTGCTGTTCATGGGGCGGACATTCCTGAACCTGAAGAGAGCAGGTAACCACTAGGCCAGCCAGCCCAAGCGCAGAGCGGTTTGCCATACACCAGGAATGCTGGGGCCACATTTCCATTCTGGAGCGTTTCTGGGCAAGCACATCCCTGTGGCAGGTTAGGCCACTGGGATGGTGCGGGGGCACCAAAAGTGTGGTGGGAAGAGGAATAAAGGAGGGGATGTCCTTGCAGGACCCCAAATTTTGAACCACTGATATCGCACACCCCAAAGCCAAACCTAAAAGCTCTTTTGAGCCTTCATCCCAGATGCACTCTGCGCATGCCTAGTGGCACCTGCTCCCTTTTCATTTCACATATTCCCACACCCTGTGAAAACAGCTCCCAGGGCTGAGGTTCCCTCAGGCAACCTGGAACCCACTTCCCAATCCGTGCAAATGAAAATCCCCATCCTTCCCCGCCGACGCATTTCTCCTGCCCTTTCCATCACCTTGGCCTCAGCCGACTCGGCCCCCGTGCAAAACGGCTCGGTTCCCCACACACAACAATGGAGGATTAAAAAGGTGAAATACATGCGGCTCCACATTTTTATCAAATTAAAAGCCTCGTTGAGAAATCAGGAGGCTGGCAGCCTCGCTGTTCAAACGTAAGCGGATGTGGAGAGAGCAGATAGATTAGTCAGCAGAATTGCAGGAGTGACCTTGGAGGGGGATCAGATGTCTGGAGTTGTGCTGGTGTGTCCCCCCCGCCCCTTCTGTGTCTTTGCTCACGCAGAGAAGTGGCGGGTCAGCTCCCCGGGAAAGGAAAAATCCCCGTAATAAGCAGCTGATCCCATTATTCGGGTGGCAGGGGAAAGAGCACGACTTGGCTCATGGTTTTTACTTCCCCAGCGAAACATGGCTTTCTTGGCACACAAAGCACAGAAGACTGGTTTATGGAGTCAGGCTCGCGGGTCAGCTGTTCCCAGAAACCTCGCATGAAAGGTGGGCCTGTGGGGAGAGGACCACCCCCCCAGAGCTTATCAGAAAATCTCTTGTGACTGCCCTCTTTCCAGTAATTCCATTTTTAATTCATCGTATTTTTTCTCTCTCTCTTCATCCCATGCAAGCAGAAAAACAGTGTGCAATGGAGAAAGCTGGCTGCTGGTTTTCTTCTTGCAAGGGAATCTGTTTTTTAATTCATTGCTTGGGGAGCGCCCAAAATGCAACTGACAGCAGGTCGCCCTCTGAGAGTGTGGGCCGTGGGGTGTGCCACCGACAGCACGGCATCCCCAGGCGACAGAGGGCGGCGTCTTCAGAAGACAAGGCTGAGATCAGGAGATCGGAACGTCTAGAGCCAATTCTGACCCACCTACACAATTAAAACTGCTGGGCACGTGGCCTCATGTGGCTCAAGGTCACAAAACCTGTTGTGAACCAACCCAATCGTGACTCTTATCCCTGCAGGTCCTCTTCCAAGTGCCTCTTTCAGGGGAAGATCAGAAGAGGGAAACAAGACAGACGGACTTCTCCGTGGTGGCCCCGCAAGGTTTATTATTATTATTATTATTATTATTATTATTTATCGATTTATATCCTGCCTTTTTCCTACAAAGGGCTCAAGGCAGCTTACAGCTCCTCCTCCATCTTATCCCCACAACAACAACCCTGTGAGGTAGGTTGGGCTGAGAGTCTGTGACTGGCCCAGAGTCACCCAGTTGGCTCCATGGCTGAGTGGGGACTCGAACCCAGATCACCTGAGTCCCAGTCCCATGCTCTTAACCAATACGCCACACTGGCTCTCACTGGTTTACCTGGAGCGCAGTGTTGTTCTTTCCGTGCCAGATTAATACTTTGCTCCCAGGCATCCGACAACACACAGTAAGGTGTTCAATGACTCATGGGGTTCTTACTGGCCTTCCTTTAAAATGATTTTCTATTTTACAATATACGTGTGTTCCCGTTCTGTGATTATATTGCATTGTGGCTGGGGGAATTATTCTTTGCAGGTTAGCCAGAGAGCAAAGGGCTCGAAAGGGAGCGTCACGACTGGAGGAAGCCAATGCAAAGATGCTCACCTGCTTACCAAGATAGTGGTCCACGCGATACATCTCCTCTTCCCGGAAGAAAGTGCTCAGCTCTTCGGCCAGCTTTTGGGCGGAAAGGAGGTCGTGGCCAAAGGGTTTCTCCAGCACCACACGCAGCCAAGCCCCGGCCGCCGGCCTGCAGCTGCTGTTGATGTTTCGGGCGATCTCTGCGTAAGCAAAGGGCGGCACCGAAAAGTAAAAGATCCGTCCAGCTTCTTGAAGGCCTTCCTGGCTGAGCACAGTCTTGATCTCCCGGCTCAGGGCGGCATAGTCCTCGGCTGTTTTGAGCTGGCGATACTCGGTCAGCTTGAGGAACTGGTCTTTGACAATGGCGCACCTGTCTGGAAGGACGTCTGGGGGACACACCAGGTTCTTCAGCCGGCCAAACATCAGCCTCCGGCCTGTTTCCAGGTCCGCCTGCGCAGCCCCGTGGAAGGTGAAGGTGTGTCCATTGCTCACCTCATCCAGGTAAAGCTGAAACAAACCCTGCCACAGGTACTTCCTGGCCAGGTCTCCCGTGGCACCCAGGAGGACCACGGAGATATGGCCACGAGACTCCTTGGCCAGGGAGGGGGCAACTCCCAGAAGCAGCACCATCAAGAGGGCAGCTGTCGGAAGCATCCTGGGAATCAGGGCAAGCTGGAACGAAGCAAGAAGTAGAAAAGAAGTCAACCAATACAAGAAAACCGGCATGGAGGGGGAGGCATCCAAATCTCACAACTGCCACCAGTTTTCTGAGCTGCTTTGCAAGTCTCCTTTGGAAAGAGCAATCCAAAGGTCGCTGTGCATTCTTCCATAAATGGACAGGATAATAAATAAACGGACATTGCCAAAAAGCCACGGTAGGGTGGTCAAAGAAGGCAGGCCGTGCTTCCACATGCAGAAGGAAACGGAGGGAGGTCAAAATCTTACTCATCTTCATAAAATCCTTGCATCCCACCGAGACTAAAACTGAGCCCCACAGGGGGCATACACCCCACTGCCTCAAAACGTGGCTACCTTTGGAACAAACCCAGATTATTATTACCCCTTTGCAGGTCATATTCGGCAGGCTCACCCAAATCCCCCTACAGGGGCTCTAGGGAAGCCTCAGCCTTTTGAACTCTGCAGCTGTCTCTTCTTCCGACATCAAACAGATCAAGGAAACACGTTCAAGGGTTAGTCAAATAAAATGTTCCAGAGATAAGCAACTTTCGACATTTCCTGTTACACACAGAGACCTCCCACTCCTGGGAGGGAAACAGAACGGTCTCTTACGGATATCCATGTTTGTACTTCTCCCTGCATCCGGGGTGGAAAACCTCAGGCCCGGAGTAGGGGCAAAACTGCCACCTGGGGTCTTGAGATGTCCCGATCCCTTTTCCCAATGGCCACAAAATATTTGGTGCTTCCTAAGCTGAACATGGTGGAGCAACAAAATACTCCACACCCTTCTGTTCTATGGTGGTCCTCTCCCCTTGGACCCACCTGCAGTATACCTAAACCACACATTTCAGCCTGAAAGAATCAAATTTCATAAAGCTTTCCTGCCTGGTCACCTAGAGACGATCCTCATTCCCCACAGAGGCGATCAACCATTTGGAAATGTAGCTTAACTTGGCCACATTACTACGTTTGAGCTTGTGGCTTCGCACATCCATGTTCGGAGTGCGGCCTGACCTGTGGACTGCCGTTGTATTTCTGGTGGACACAATAAAGAGGATGACTGCACACACGGGTACATGAATATGCAAGCAACTGGCCTTCACTGGCAGCTCAACAAAACAGCCCAAATGCCCCCTAACTCAGACAAATTTAAGAAAGTTACTCAACGCTCCTTCCAATTGCACAATATTTATCTGGTTGTTCCCGGAATATTTCTTGGGCTTTTCACAGGCAGAATTCAAATAATTCCAGGAGTGCTGGGAGATGGAGATGGCCAGAAGGTCGGCGGGTTAATAGCTTACATGTCCAGTGGCTCAAACAAGGAGGTGTAACACGGAAAGCACACAAAAAGGGACTCCTGGTGACCTTTCCAGTAATTCCTAGCCTGCATCTGATATATTGGGAGCTGGCCACAGGGTAAATCTGGGCTCCCTGTTTGGGGAGGGCTGGCCCACTGAAGTCCCAAGCATTTGCAATCCATAGGCAAATGGAGTTCAGGCTGCAAAACAACCAGATGGAAAAGTTCTACACACGGCACACCTTGCACAACTGTTGTGTGGATCTCTGCTGCAAGCAGTAAGAAGCTACTTTTGCAATCCGCTTGCGGAAGGTTTGGGCCGCCCTAAATTCAAACCTGACTTAAGTGCAGGAAGGGGCAACAGAATTTCTGCAACACAGAGAGAGGCGAGGAATAAGCCTTACCGTCCCCGTAAATCCCCCCACCCCACAACTAAGCTGAGAAAAAACGCCCCACTGGACACTCGCTGCTCTTGGAAATAGGATTTCCCATGGGCCACTTTTGCAGTGCGAGTGTGGAAAATGGCAGCACTATCCGAGCTCTGACAGCCTGGCACTCGAGTCCCACTTGGGGGTTCCCACGTGCAGCCAGTGGGGCACAAACAGCCGCGATCTGGCCCTCCTCTGCCTCTGCACCTTGCCTGGGAAAGGATGCCTCCTTTCCAAGGATGCCTCCCAGGAAAAGGAGCGGGAGCGAGGGCGGGGGGAGAAAAAGAGGCGCCCTCCAAAACGGCAGGTGCCACATTTACTGCAAGCGCGATGGGAGGGTGCCCGGCAGAGGGCCAGCTGCACTGCTCGACCCTGCAACGGATCTCTCGCCTTCGAGCGGCAAGCCCTCGAGAACGTAAGGCGAGCGCGGCAGGAGCAAGCCGAGGGTCCGTCTAGGCCCGGGTTTTGTGCACGAGGCGGCCCACCAGCCGCCCCGGGAAAGCTGGCAGCGGGAGAGCAGAGCCGCAGCCCCTCCCCGTTTGTGCGCCCCAGTGTACTGCCTCGGACACCGGGCGCAGCACACGGACGGCAGCCGCCGGTCGCCCTGCGCTGCCAAGGCGGCGTTTCCGAGCATCGGTAGCCATAAGGTGGCCTCGGTTGCCCCGCGTCGCAAAGGGGGCTTCGGAGGCGCCCACCCGCACTGGCTGCTGCACGCACGCAGCGAGGAGAAAACGCAACACGGGCACGGGGCGGGGGGGGCAGCCTCCCCCCAGTCCTTCGCTGGCCAGGCCGCTCCTCGCCGCCCGCTTTGCTCCCGCGGCCAATGCACGCGCGCCCCACTCACCTCCCTCCCGCGTGGAGGCGCCAAGCGCGAATTTGGGCCAAACCTGCGAACCAGATCCGGGTCTAGCCGGTTTTTTTTTTTTTTTTATCTTTTCGTTGGCAGCGCGAGAACGCACCGAAGTTTAGCCCCACCTCTGCCAAAGCACGGGCAGAGAAAAATCTATGGTTTGCGCTCGGCAGCGCGGGCGGTTGTGAAGCGGGGGGGGAGAATTTTCGAGGAAATGGTTTCTCTTTCAATGTATGCTCATTGAAAAGGTTTCTGTTTTCTACATTCTGTTGGAAGCGAAAGGCTGAGCTTTCCCCAAGCTGCGACCATCCAGATGTTTTTTGGACTACAATTCCCAGCCCGAGGCTGATGGGAAGTGGAGTAGGGGTCCTGCTTCCATTACATTTTCTCTGCCCCATTTTGTTCCACAAAAGTGAATTAATACACAAATATTAGCATGGTGGAATTCAGTGCATGAACAAAAAATCCACAGGAAGTCTCCCAATCAAAGTTATCCCCTCCGCACCCACCATAAAGTTCAGAAAGCATATACGGCTTACAGTCTTTTTTAAAAAACCGCACAACAACCCTGCAAGGTAGGTCAGCTGCAGATCAGAATGACAGCAAACCCAGTACGGCGCTTTGGAGAGTCCCTGTTGTAAATCTGACTGGGTTCTTTGGAACCAGCTGTGCTCTCTGGCAACCTCACCTACCTCGCAGGGTTGTTGAGCAGACAAACTGTGGGTGAGGGGGCATCATGCATCCATGAGCTTCCTGGAGGAAAAGCGCAGTTTAAATGAAATGAATAAATAAACCCAGGTTTCCTCAGTCTAAGCCTAACACTTCAAGCCAAGTTCTACCTTGCAGGGTTGCTACAAGGGCTGGCCGGAGCTGAACTTTTAAACTGCAAGGAGAAATATTTCCTCTACCATGGCTGGCCTTCAGCTATCAACCTCAGTGTTCCCCCTCTGTAAAATGGGTCCATCCACTGGGCTATCTTTCATGAGGTCTTTGTTGGAATAGCTCCTCTGGAGCAACCCAGATACCCAGCTTGTCCTCGCGGAAGAGGAAGTGCATCAGAAATTACGAGGGTGCAAAGGGGATACACACACGCATAAAGCATCATGTTCTCATTTAGATGCATCAATGCAACGCAAGAAGAAAATGTTGAATAACAGAAATACAAGACGCGTCTGAGATTGCACAACCTGTGCGCTGGCTTCATCTGCTGAAACGCTGAATTAATTGACCCATCCACCTTATTCTACCAAACGAAAGCAGGAATAACAAGGCTTTCAAGTCTGACTGTTTCTTGCATCTTAGCAAAGAGATGAAGCTGGGAAATGAAAAAAGCAGAACAAAAGCAATCTAGCAGCTCTTGGATTCCCTTTTCTTTGTTGGCACGCCTGCTTTGCTCTTGATCTGCTTTGCAAGAGTTTGCATTTCCATGTTGAAGCTAAAGGCTGAATTTCAGCTTGCTGAAGATCTTTTGCTAAACCTCAGCATGTTTTACAAGTTGAACCTAATAAATCAGAAGTGATCAATATGAAACTTTTATTAGTAGTAGTTTGCATTGTTATTATTGAAAGCGTTTCATCTACAGCCAAAAAGCCCCCAAAGTGACTTAAGGAGTTTAATAAGAAAACAGTCCCCTGTGTTCTGCTCACACTTTCTGCAAAAAGCTGTGTCACCTGCCCCATTCAAGCCCCCTTGCTCAGTAGGGACTTCCCCCCTCCCAGGCAAGATACTTCCAAACCATCTTCAAGGGCAGCCCCATGTGGAGTGGATTGCAGCAATCCAACTTGGAAGCTACCAGAGCGAAGACAAGGCAAAGCCAAAGCTTTACCCAGTCTGGCATTCTGTTCCCAGCTGCCCACAGGAAATCCACCAGGAAATTCACTCTCATGCCCAGCAAGTGGTATACACAGACATAATGCTGTTGATGTGGAGGTAGCATATAACCATGAGGACTAGCAGCCACGGAGAGTCTGCTCCTCTATAAATGTGTCCAATTCCCCCTTTAAAGCCCTCCAAACGGGTTCCAAAAATCCATCCTGCGGAAGCGGATTCCATGCATTAGCTCTGCGCTGTGGGTCGTGCGGACAAACAGCCCCCAGCCTGGTGCGCTGGTGAATGGCACTACTCCTGTGTAACTTGCAGCCTGGGATCTGGTCCACCATTCCTTCCCTATTGATCCGGGAGGGTTTAGCAAGTCGGCATCGTTGCGGCCTGAGATGGGTCTTTCCATTTTTTTCTGTTTGGATAAGCAAGGACGTGGCACCTGCAGTGAATTCCCCGGCTAACGGGGGAAGTGCCAAGCCAGCGGGCCTGGGAAGCTCCTCTCCCTCGCCCCCCCTCCCTGATCTGCAGTGAGCTGCAATGCACCTGCAGCATGTCCGAACGCGCACCAGGCGCCGCGCGAGCCGCTGCAGTTACAAGAGGTTGGAGAGCTGCAGAGGCGAAAGAAGGAACGCCACACACGGCGAGCCAAGCATCGCCACCCCCTCCCTGCGGTCTCTTTGCTGAGCATGGGGTTGCTCTGATAGTACAAATCTTCCCGCCCCATCTGCCCCCCCCCCCACAACACATCCCGCGATGAGACGAGGCCTTCTATCAGTGCCACGGCCGGGGCCGCAAATCAGAACTGCGCGCCGCAAATAATTAACTTTGACATTGTCGCGCTTGACCCAAGTGGGAATCCATCTCGGCGTATGAATTGCGTTGCGGCAGCGGCTTGCTAAGGAGGGGGGTGGCTCAGAGGGGAGGCTTTTCCTCTGGAATAGAAGCACCCACTCCCCAAAAGGGTCAAGGCCAACCCAAACTGAGTCCTCGGAACCAAGACTGCCAGCGGGCCAAGACAGAGAAAGGGCCCGCCTGCCTCCGTTTGCCTTCAGTGGTGGAGCTCAGCAAGAGGAGAGTTTCATTGGGACGGAGGTCACC